GTCTCATGTACCACCTGCACGACCTCATTGGAGTGCGGTAGAGGTGAACCAGCATGTCACTCTTATCAATTCCCCCCATATTTGCATTGTAGGACTTTATGACATTCGGACATTGCACTTCTTCTTTGCGCTTTGTTTCTTTGCAGTAGCGAGAGCAAGTTGCGACTGCGGTCAACCCCTTGATCATTCGATAAAATCGTGACCGCCTTGTTGTCCTTCCAACGAAGAGCTAAGATTCCATCATCCGTAGAAGTGTAGTCAAAATGACCTCTGGGAACGCTTTTCTTTTCGAAGTTTTTTGTAGACTTGAGTGGTGGGTTTCCAATTCTATTTTCCCTTGCAGTACCTGATGTAGGCCTACTATACAAATTGAAACAGTTTGTCCACTTTTGATCCAATCCGACTTTTCATTTATAGTAAGTCACCTGGCAGAGCTCTGTATCAAAGGAAAGCTTTTCACCTTGAGTGGAAAAAATTTTTTTAAAAGTGAACTTCCATTCTTAGAATTCCAGCCTGTTAGACCCTAATTTATTTCAATACTTTTTATTTATTTGTTCCATTTCCCTTCGGAGTCGACGGAGCGTTTACGCTTGTCAACTCGACTCTAAAAATGCACGAAAGAAAATAAGATACTCGCATGTCCGTTTCTAATACTACGGAAATATTCAATGAACGACTATAAAGAAAAATCCGAGAAATAAATACATTTTTATTGAAATTATAATCAATAAGCTGCAAAAATTTGGCGTTTTATGCGTAAATAGTAACAGAGTAAGAATTATATAACGATACTATGATTAATTCTATATTAATGCATATCACATAAATTGCTACTGATAAATATGAATCATATTCGAAACAAACTGAAGCATTAGCAAGCCTTGACCCTAATAGTACCGGTGGGAATTAAATATCAAATTAATATTGAATTTCAAGTTATAAGGTCATGCGGTTCAAAGTTCGCAATGAGCCCCAAATTTCTTTTATTCTATTGTACACATTTGAACAAAAGTTACCGCTTATCGTGGAAACGAAGGCAAAATCTAAAAATTTGTCACGACTGAACATCACAGCTAAGGTAATGCATGATAAAGGCACATGCTAAGTTTCCTCGAACTGCGCTCACTAGTTTGGGAGACATTTTAGGCCTACTCGAAATTTAACAATCAGCTACATAAATGCCTGTCTTTTCTCCGTATTAAGCCGGATAACTCGCGAACGAAGGCAAAATTGACTGCAACATTACGGTTAGGTAGTTTAAAATGCATATTCTAAGTTTCGTTCATATCTTTACTCTGTGATAGAAGATATATTTTGCTCGCCACGAATTCTGGCCCGTCTGCAACGTTTCAGAGGCCGCGGGTCCGGCCGTAAATTTGCCCGAGACGTACGTTTCATGCAGTGAGCTCCGTTCCCTAGTTTGGAAGATATTTTAGGCTCACTTAATCTTGGGGCCCGCCGTAAGTGTCCGAGAGGTTAAGAACAGTCAACGAATCCTTCAATTCGGAAGATATATTCGTGAAATTAAAAAGAGGACTACCGTTAATGATGATACCGTGCCAGCAGCACTTACAGTCGCCAGCCTTCAATTAAAAACAAATTTATAAACAAAACTGAGAGACATCTTTCTCGCGCGATAGGAACTGTTTTTTGGTTATTATGTGGCAATCAGACCCTACAAATCGTAGTTTTGAGTTATACGGTCTTTAGTGACAAGCGGCGAGGTATGTGTAGTTTCTGCATGCTTGAGCGGCGACTTATCTGGTATCGACGGTAATTTTCACCAATGTTCCGCGGGAAGAATTATTATAAAATTCGAGTTATTTCGTTTTTGGGATAAAACGAAAAATGCAGGTTAAAATATATTTTTAACTACTGAGCTCAACTAGATGATCACTGCACTTATTGTTACAGTGATTTATTAATGCTATTCGCCGTCAACGAAACGTAACTCACCACTTTCCGCATATTGACACATATCCAGAGGAAATAATATACGTTTAAAAATTACTTTTTAAAGACAACACTTCCAAAGAATCCAATGTTACACATGCACAATGAATTTCTAATTTTATGTTCGGATATTAAAAAAATTTCACTTTTTAATATATATAAAATTAAATTTTCAAAATTATTTATTCTGTCAATCGATTCATGAATTTTCTCTGACTTCACGCAAGTGGGCAAAATTTCTGATCGATTAGACAGGTAGAAAATGTTAAATATCGATTATAAGATTTGTTGCAGACAGAATTATTTTTTTAAATTTTTCAATATTAATTTTTTTTTAATTTTCACAATTATTTGTTCGGTCAATTGATAGATGCATTGTCTCCGACTGTACGCAAGTCTGCAAAATTTCTGGACAGGTAGAAGTGTGTTAAATATCGATTATAAGATTTGTTGCAGAAAGACAGACAAACAAACAACAAGAAGTGAAGTTAAAGAGAAGTGTTGTAATAATATACGTTTAAAAATTACTTTTTGAAGACAACACTTCCAAGGAATCCAGTGTCTCCAATCTTACAAATGTACAATGAATTTCTCATTTAATTTTCGAATATTAAAAAATTAATTTTTCAGTTTTTTTAATATATAAATTTTTAATATATAAAATTTGTTTAAATTATTTATTCTGTTAATTGATTCATGCATTGCCTCCAACTTCACACAAGTGTGCAAAATTTAAGATCAATTAGACAGGTAAAAGTGTGTTAATATATATATCAGTTATAAGATTTGTACCTGACAAAATAATTTTTTCAATTTTTTTAATATTGATTTTTTTAAATCATTTATTTTGTCATTTGATTCATGCATTGTATCCAACTTTACACAAGTGTACAAAATTTCAGATCCGTCGGAGAAGTAGAAGTGTGTTAAAAATCGATTATAAGATTTGTAGCAGACAAACAAACAAACAAACAACAAGAAGTGAAGTTAAAGAGAAGTGTTGTAAAAAGAGATGACATTTGTGTGATGTGTAAAAGAGATAAGAAGGAAACGGTGGAACATCTGATGATAGGGTGAAAAGCGTATGAGAGAAAAAGACTGAAAATTAAATGAGTGATACTCAAAAGACGAGAAAAGAATGAGCGATGGCTTTGGGCATGAGAAAACGGGTTATGAATGTATTGCAATGATAGAGGGTCTGTCAGCAGAGGTGACTGCTGCGGGAGTGCTGCCACCACTGAGAGTGGAAAACGATACTTGAAAAGAGCATGTAGACTGACGGAGAGAAGGTTGGTGAGAATGGTTAATGGGCCATAGTACTCGGACGTGTTTGGAGAAGTGTCGATTCGATGCATTAATCACTTGACTTGACCACTTGATGAATCGATCACTTGACTGTTCACCATCTCATATCAGACTGTCAACATGGCTTTATTGCCTGTAGATCCTGCACCACTAACCTCTTGTCTACGTTGAACAATTGGACTCGCCTGTTGGACGAAAGGGAGCCAGTGGATGCAGTGTACCTCGATTTTGCCAAAGCACTTGACAGTGTTCCGCAAGAGCGGCTGTTGCGTAAAGTGAATAGAATAGAATAGAAGTGTCGGCGTTGAAGAAATAGGCCCATGGCCTGTTGCCGATTCTTGACCTTTTCGTGACTTGATTCACAAGGGATCTGGCCTTTGGAGTCTTTGGAACCCGATCTTTCCATAGCTGACGAATGATTGAGATCGCTGCTGGACTTATTGTCTGGTCCGTAATTTGCTAGGCATTTTAACACTGAACATATGCTCCTGCATAGCTTCGTCTAGTCTGTTTTTGAAGATGTTCATACTCGGAGCGTCAACGATGTTATCAGGGAGGCTGTTACACATGTCGGTGACTCGAAGCGAGAAGAAATGTTGTCGCATGGATGTGTTCCAACGCTGTTTTTTTTAGTTTTTAGCCGTGGCCCCTGGTGTTGGTTCTTGTTTCAAATTCTAGTAATCCTTCTGGGACCTTGTATAAGCCATGAGTATTCATATCTGGACCATTCGGCCACCTCGAAAAGGTAGTGCAAAAATTATATTTTACAAGTATTCATGTACTACAAAATGCATCATAACAGAACAATATTATCCAACTATAAACTTGATTGAGGGCTAGGAAAAAATCTACAAAATGAAGAAAGCGATGTAGTTTTTACAGATGCAACTGCAAGTCAACATGTATAATTTAAATAAAAAATATTCTGGTAAATGTTTGGCATTCTAACCTGTTACTGGATTGAAGAAAATCTTAAGTCGAAAATCAAAATAATCATTTGAGAATAACAACTTTTGGAAACTCAGACATGCCTATATTTAAATAGAAACTAATCACACATAGCATTTCTTGGTTAAAGAAGAGAATTCCATTATGATTAAAGTAATCAGCTACCTTCCGTCGTCCGATATTAGACACTTGGGTGAACGCGGTATCGTATGTACAGCTTATGTGACATTTTTACATTAGGATAAATTAGCATCAATTAGTATCAACATAAAACACACAAGTATGCCCAAAACATAAGAGCGCCAGTCATCTATTCGAGAGTTGTCATGACTGGATGCAGGACGCCCATCTGTGATGCATCCATTGAAGCTAAATCCTAACAATTCAAGGTCGATGTACAAGACGAGAAATTGTTTCTAGACGTATTGATCTCTACCGTTCGAATGAGCTGGAGCATGAGCACGCAATGAAGCTCCAGATATTTCTTGTGCGACAAGATCAAAAAGGTCCACGATTACGAAATAATGGTGAACGTGTGTAGAAGCATGAACCTGATCTTGTTCCTCTATATAATAATGCATATAATAAGTAACTATAAGCTCCCTCGCACTCGATGCTATATAAATTATTGTCACGGTTTTTTGCTGCAACGAGCAGAACCGTTTCTTTTCCACTTGATATTGGAAATCTAATAAATTGTTACTGCTTCCCTGAAAGAGAAAAAAATTCTCCGTAAACTAAGTCTAAATGTACATTTTCGATTGAAGACAACCAAGAACTTTCATTTTCAAATCCTAATCATCGTCACTGGAAGATGTAGAATTTTCAATCAGTATGTCAGAGGCTCGTAGAATATTTTCACTGCTGTACGCGACACCGGCATCACCTTTGCCTGAAATTACCTTGACGATCTGAGCGCTAGAACAGGACTCTTCATCTCCATCGTTGAGCTCAGACCAATCGAGCAGTTTTGTTTCTTTTATTTTATGTTTGTAGTATTTCTCTAGCGCAGAGGCGCATTTGAAATACTCAGTGTCTGGGTAGTTATAAAAGCGACAATTGTTGAAGATGCGCATCATGTCTGCATGGAACAGCCGTACGCTGTGGTAGTACTTGGCTTTGTGCCGCTCGGTCATTGTCTTCAGGTCCATGGGGTACTTGATATGGTCGCAGTAGTCATGTACTTCGTTGCGGTCAACTGCCTGCAGGAACGGCCAAGCGGATCCGTGACTTTTTATCTGAACGAAATTCAACAAATTAATGTCATCAAAACGATAAAACTTCTGTTAAAGACTCGCGAGTTTCTCTACGCCTTCAGATAATGACGATGTATCCTAAGAAATTATGTGAAAATGATTTCAAATAGCTTTGAAACTTTGGTTTTACTAAAAAAAGAGTATATCTGACAATTATCACATTGTTTCGTAATGACGGACGCCGTGTAGAGAGCCTGCTTATTCCTCGTTGACGGTAGAGTAACATCCTCTAAGCACGTTTACGTTCATTTTCTTCGCGATGTGTACCTCAACATATCTTACCACAACCAATATATAAATATCAAACAAGTAAAAAATCTCCTTTTTATCTATTTAATTAAATTTTTCGATATACTATACTATATAATTTTTCGATATACTATTATCGATTAAATTTTTCGATTAATAGTGTATTAGCGACTAGGTAATTCGATCTAATATATGATGAAAAATGGAAGGAAGACCAAGAAATAACCCCAAAAAATACCTTTTTGATTGAATATCAAAGATCAGACCATATCAAGAAGACGTAATATCGTTAATAAGAACTTCTTACATGTAGTGATGCAGTACTATGCCGTTTTGGTATCAGATTTGTTAAAAAAGTGTTCGTTGTTTTTATTGCTTGTTATTGTTATTGAGGATATAATTTTCCAGCAGAGCATTATTAAATGATGTATCTTAGTCTCTTTTGATGTTAGGAATAAAATGGAGGCCCTCGACATGTCTTATTAAATACTTGTCTTCTTAATTGAGTTTATTTCGGCCCTCTGGGAGGTGTACAGATTGGTATATTACAATATAATCTTCAGTTCGAATATTGCTTCAACTGTCACTTCTATATGCTATTACCTCATTTAATATTTTAAACTTTAACCTTAGCAGAAAGAGTCCAAAATTTGTTCGTTCTCAGAAAAATTGAAGTATCTAAACATGTTGCATTAACTCAGTATATCAACGCTGTTTTTATATTCATAAATTGACATTATTTAAATTATAAAGCTGACAATGATAAAAATGAAGGAAGTTATATAAACTCCTAAAATTTAGTTTTTCGGAAGAAGAAATGTACAAATGAATGTTATTTTATTGGGCTCGCAGCTTCAAATAAGGAAAGGCTAATTTATTTCAATGTGCCTATCGCTACTCACATGGTTGAGAATTGTTTTGAAAAGGCCGTAGAGATAGTTAGCGTCGTTGGAAAAATCACATTGTTCCTGAGGAGGTTTCTTCTGCTGGGGAGGTGGAGGTCGCCAGCCTGCCTTTCTGATGCCAGGTATGCTGGAGATGGGGATATGCTCTTCACCCCTGGCAGTAAAACTGAGGTTAGCACTGGGAACCTGGGACTTCATTGATGAAAATTCCGCAGTTAGGAGGAATTTTCTCTCAGACCCAAGCATACGCGGGAGTCATCGTACAAAAAGACGTCATTCATAGACTCGGGGCGAGCCGGGACACTACGCTGACAAGGCCTAGCACTTCCTATAGAATTATTAAATGTAATTCGGTAAAATTATGCTTACATAATGCAGCATTGGCTTTGCAGTGTCATGGCTGGTTGGTTCTCACCTTCACTAAAGCATTTCAGGCCTTTGTGCACGCACCGGATTTCGCTTTGTTTCTGTTCGATGAGCTTTTCTATGATCTGTTAAGAATAAAAAATATTATAAAAAAATATAAATACACCAAATGAAACAGAAATGGTACACCCGCTTGATTAAAATGCATGTTAAAATAACAAATAGTGTAATAATGGTAATTTTATTATAATATAGATGAAAAATTTTCAAATTAAAACACAAGACGATACTTCAACTTATAATAATAAGATGACATGCCACAACATTTCTCTCTCATGTTAATGCGAAACATTGCTCATCATGTCTCTTGACCTGCAATGGATCTCTTACTCTGGCGGCCGGCATTTTTCCTCTTGCTTAATAGCGCAATCGATGGAACAATTTGGACATAAAGTCTTTGTAGTCTCGTCACTGGATCTTTTGCTCATAAGAACTTTTTCCCAATCCACCTTTGTCACTTCACTTTAGAATTTTATAATTAACCCTTTCCCCCCAAAAAAAGTAAATCAAGCTTAGTGCAGGTTTAAGAAAATATTTTCAATCAAGATTTGATTGTTTGTTAATTTGATGTGGAGCTTGAGCGAAAATTATAGGTACAGAGCAAGTAACATTTAAAATGATTGTATGTGCTGCACAATAAATTAGACACAATGAAAGCGACCTCGAGGCTGGTGAATGCAACCCTTGCGTTAATTAAGAGCCGTAATTGAAGCTCACGGTATATAGGCAATAATAGGAGGGATGGTTAAGAGGGATGGTTAAGAGGGATGGTTAAGAGGGATGGTTATACATAAGAGTGTGAACTTTTAATTTTTTTGATGCTAGTAAATGTTTTTTAGGCAGCGTGTATGACCGATTTAAAGGTCGTGACCGTAGGTCACCACGCACCCCAATTCCAATTCCTCCCTCAAGTTCATTTTTGAGTCCTATAAGTAGACCAGTAAAGTATCCTGGATACCAGCATCATCATACATAAGAAATTGGTTTAAATCTTGGGTAAATCATAAATGAGGAATTAAAAATGAACTGATTCTAAAAAATCTCTGGTTTGTCACTATGATCATCCATTTCATTTATACCTAGTCACTTTAGTCAGTCACCTGGCATAGCACTGTGGGAAAGCTTTTCAGCTTGGGTGGAAAGCTTTTTTATAAGTAAACTTCCATTCTTAGAATTCCAGCCCGGCCAGGCGGCGGGGCCCTATATCACATTGGGGATTGGCTAATATTGATACATGAAAAATATTGAAAATGATGAAAAATTCAAAGTTCTGCATTTTTGGTAGTTCTTGCAAATTGCAAGTAGGTAGCATAAAATCCCTGAAAACAATGCAGGTAGGACTAGGGCCTAACTAACGATGTAACATATTAGACAATGGACATCAATCACATCATGACATTGACATGAAAACATAAAAGGTAGTTACAAGTAACAAACCTATATATAGACAACATTTCACAACAACAGTGCAACTGCATTACACTTGCAAAACTTGGCAATAATTTTCAAAATTCTTCTTAGTGGCTGCCACTGCCAGCCTACCACTGTACTGGGCCAGTGGGCCCACTAGGACTGGACTGGGGCACTGGCCTGGGCCCTTGGGTCCTGGGCACAGCCGCCCAGCCGGCAGCCGCACTGGCTGCCCGGTCCCGCCTCAGATAAGAATAGGTATGCCATAAAGCAATCCTTATCAAAGTTCAGAAAATGCTCAATAACTCTGCATAACTATGCACAACTCACATTACTGCAAGCGCAAGGTTAACGCTGTTGCGCGTTGACAACTAGGAAGTTGTGTCCTCAATTTTCTGAAAACCTTAATGAAAAATTAAATCGTCTTTTAGCTTCAAAGTTTCCGAAACATACCAATATAAAAAACGAAAGACTTGGCATTCAAGCCTGAATACCTGTAGGTGTAAAATTAGTCTTCAATCCTGCTGGTTGATAGTAATTAGATTAAAAAAACTTCATTGAAAGGTGTTCGAAACTACTGCTGTCTTCGTTTTGTAAGACATTTTCCTCCAGAGCACCATTACGGCCCCCCAAGAACCGCCAACCTGGCTCAACGCCTCAACCTTGAAAGCCCGAATGAAAACAAAAGAAAAAACTATGTCGGGACTTGGGAGCGCAGCCGAACACCACCAATTTATTAAAATTAACCTCAATATGCATTATCATGCATTATAATTAACCCCATTAATGCAAGATTAATTGACCCCATGATGCATTATTATCTTGCCAGATAGAAGTGAATGAAATTTGCTATCTTTCAATCACGATCAATTAATGAAGTTGCGTTAATTAGTTTTCGCACATTTTTCAAATGTTTTATCTCTGAATCAAAATTTTTACGCATCATATACGTGAATCTAGGTGACCAGTCAGAACTCAGAATATCACAAGAAAACAAACTGTAACTGATACTTCAATCGATCAGTTCGTTTCACCCCAGCATGCACGTGAAGGCGCTCTCAACTTTTTATGATAGCTTAACATAACATAACAAAGTGATGTCGGCGCTGACGAGACTTCGTTTTCGTGACTTGTTCACAGAAGATCTAAAATCGTGTCCTTTGACCGGAACTTTTCAGTACTGGGCTACTAGACTTACACCGGGTTCGATATGGTGCTATGCATTTCGGTTTTAAGTTTGAACATATATTTTTCCAAAGCTTTATCTACGGTAGTCTGTTCTTGAACGCGTTCATACTCGGAGCGCCAACGATGTAATTGGGGAGGCTGTTCCACATGTCGCTGATTCGATTCGAGAAGAAATTTTGTCGCGTGGATAAGTTGCAGCGCAGTTTAAATTATATTCAAAGTCTAATTATGTATCATTAACATATAACATAACAGATCCACCACAACATACCTAACAATTTTATTTGCAAATGTTTAGAGACACAAGTGCTCAAGATTTACTACACACAGTAATTCACATTCGTTCTCGACCGCAAAATATACATAGCGGTTTCAGCGTTTATTAGGCCGTAGGCCTGTCGCCGATTCTTAACATTGCGGAACATCCACAGCATGTTGCGGGCTTGCACTCGCAACTCGCTGCTTCAAATTTTCTTTGCTTAACCGCCCGGCCTCCTCGCCGATTCTGACCAGAAACTGACGCACAGAGCTGGGATCGAACCTGCACCTTTGCTCCAATCTTGGTACGTACTCTGAACTGTAACCACTGGGCGATTAATGAAACTTGTGCATCCTTGAAAATCTAAGTTTACTTAACAAATCGTGTGATCTGCAACATTGTAAGTGCTTAGACGCGGGAAAATATTAGACGATATTAATACGTTTCTCTTCAAATATCGGGTTTACTTCATCAGAGGAAAGTTGCTGGGAGCGGGCGTTTGCAGTAAAAAGTAAAACGTTTATTTTTTCGCCGGAATTCAGCATCGGTTGGGCTGGTGTCGCTGCCCCCAGCAGCCATAATTTTTTTCACAAAACGGTGTAGCCACAAATTTTTTTAATTGTTTCGTAAGTTCACGAAATCAAGTCGATAATGCTTCGTCATCTCCCCGGCCTACCTTTTTTTACCCCACGCACTCTACGTTGTTGGATGGAGTCTCTCAACTCCTCCGCTGGAGCTGTAACAATTTCACCATCAAAAGCCTTCATGAGCTCGCCATTAGTTTAGTTTAATGCTCCTTAATACACCACCGAACATCCACTTTTCTTGACGGCATCTTACGACGCACTGGCGCTTGAGCATAAGGAAGTACTTTTAAGCTAATACTTTCCTCGTGTATAAACTTTCAGGGCAAAACAACAAAGGGAAATACTTGCCGCTAATAATATCGGCTACAAATTTCCCCGAGTACAGGCACTGATATTTTTTCTCTGAAGTTTTACGGACACGTTTACTATTTTGACATGAGAGGCTAGTGAATTATTGATTGATATTAAAAAATTGAAGAACGGTTTGTCGGCATTAAAGCCTTTATTTATTAAAAATGAGCCGCAGACTTCGTTACTTGCGTAATGTTCATACTTTTTTTTAATAAATTACATCATGATCCTTCGCGTAGCCACGGAGTAGGATTGCAGTTACTGGGGGATTAAATAAAAAGCAATATTAAAAGTACATACAGGAACTACTGAATTCAAGGAATCTGAAAATTTGCCACAGGTTTGACCACTACTTTTCCTGACTGAATATTCAATAGCAGTAACTAAGAATTCTCGTTTGGTTGTGATCTCATTCATGTTGGAAACATTCAATTGATCGTGGCTGCAATTAGTACTAAACAATTTATCATCATGATTATGCCTCTGAAATATGTTACTTAATTGCGCATTAAAAATACTACGAGAAATGGGCTTATCGAAACGAGTTTCAAGTTCAGCAATTTTATTTATTTTGAATAAGAGCATTAAAATTTGACGCTCATAAACCAGCTCCGCGTTTATCATCGTTTAAAGCCATTTATAAAAGAAATTATTGTTGATACTTCTATGCCTGGATTTAACATGTTGATAGTTCTTGCTTAAGTATATGACCTCCATGCGGGCTGCATATAAATGAGATTACCCAAAGCCCACCCACGGACCTCGCATATTACGCTCAGAGAAATAAATAGGTCATAGCGTCCAAATAGAATCGCATTTTATGCGTGTAGCAGAGACTAGACGTTTGCCAGGCCTAACTGTGTCTGAATGACTTACGTAAGCGCAAAAAATATAATTCAGTACTCACTGCAGTGAGTGACAGAGAGCGCATTTTCTCGTCGACGAAAACTTGAGTCAAAGAAGCGTTAAATGTCGGAGTGTTCAAAAGAAGCCCGTTACGTGAAAGCTCGAGATAAGATGCCATTGGGCACTAAAGCTACCGCGAGAGGGCCCCTCTCTGCTAACCGTCTAATCTTGATTAGGTGCGGTCCAATATGTTGTTCCTCCAATAGTTGTTGCTGCGATGGTATATGCTGCAATGGTTGTTACTCCATTGGTGATGTGTTGCTTCAATGATTGCTACTCCATTGTGATCGTATTGTTCCAAAGATTGTCGGCCCTTTGTGGGAGTGTTTCCTCAATGGTTGTTGCTCCGTCGTCGTAGTGTTGCTCCTATATTAGCTACCCCAGTGTGGTAGTGTTACTAGAATGGTAGTTGCCCCCATTGTGGTAGTGTAGTGTTACTACAATGGTAGTTGCCCCATTGCGGTAGTGTTACTACAATGGTAGTTGCCCCATTGTGGTAGTGTTACTACAAAGGTAGTTGCCCTTATTTTGGTAGTATAGTTCAAAGCCTGTCAAAGCTTTCAAGCCTCAGTTATCATACTCATGGCTTATACAAGGTCCCAGAAGGATTACTAGAATTTGAAACAAGAACCAACACCAGATGC